CCTCCGCCCCGGGACGGACCACACCAGGCGGAAAAAAGAAAGAGAAGGGCATTTTTCATCATCCAGAAAATTGACAAAAATATCGAAAAAGACGGGGGAATCAAAACGAAAACCATTTCAAGGTCGTAAACGCGAGAAGAATGTCGAAGTCTCATTTTATAACCCTGAACCAGTAATAGCCAGAGGGGACCGGCCGACACGTCGAAACATCAACAAACAAGCGTCTTCCAAAATCTCCCAAATCTCCCAAAATCTCCGAAACATTGCTCAAGACCCAAAACCAAATCTGCTGCGCGGGACCTTTTCTCTATCCGAAACACACAACACAACCAACCCCAGCCAAGAGAAGTCGTCAAGGAATTTCGCGGCGTCAAGGCAACAACCAGACTTTTCGGTTACGGGAGAAACGCCGCGGGTTACAAAAGAAACTCCTTGAAGGAAGGATGGTGCACACGACGATCAACCACCCGTAGCCCGCAAGACTTGGCTTCAACGTGCCTAGCCACCCCTATCACGGAACCATCAAGGGCACTTGAGTGCGAACGTCGTATCTTTCTCAAATTGCCACACCAAACGTGCCTAAAAGCATGCACGAATGTACGAATGTACAGGCATGACACGTTGTTTGTCCATGCTTTTGAGTCGAATGTGCCTCAAAACGTGCCAGCTGGGCTTGTCGGACGCATACAATACGTACGCGTACGCGTGACACACACCGCCCGACTCAAACCTACCACGTCGCCCCTTGGAGGGTCACGTACACCCATCCGTCATTTCAAACATTTACCTGAGCGTGCAAACTAAACTCCCCAATGGATACATGCAAACCTTCTCCTCCACGCTGCACCTCAATCTGCCCCCACCCCTTCCGGCATTGGTACTGACTTGTATCTTGGTTTCGCAAGGAAGTTCCTGTTTACTCCTGAACACCGCCATACCAGGGAAGTGAGGTTGCTAAAAATCGAGACAGTTAAAAAGCTTAAGCCCGAGTAAATGTCGGCAGCACGAGGACAGAAGACCGTTCACTGCAATGTACGTTCTGCCAAGCTGAACCCCACGCTAAAACAGAACAAGAGTAAG